ATAGATATAGATATAGATATAGATATAGATATAGATATAGATATAGATATAGATATAGATATAGATATATATATATAGATAGATAGATAGATAGATAGATAGATAGATGATAGATAGATAGATAGATATAGATATAGATATAGATATAGATATAGATATAGATATATAGATATATAGATATAATATTATATATTATATTATATATATATATATATACACACACACACACACACACACACACACACACACAATTTGTAGAGTAGATATTAGGAATGAATTAACAATAACTAGGGAAATGTTCATCATTATCACAATCATGGAATTTTTTACTGACGGCAAATGATAGCAGTATAGTTCAATACTTTAACATGTATCATAATGTAACACATTGTTTTTAATTGTTATTGGAAAGCCCTATGTAAAGCAAAAAGTTAAGATAAATTATGCAGGATTAACTCACCGTTTGGAGCAACGTATTCAATTCTTGGAAGTTCATTCTGTACCAACACTTGTCTTGTTACCTCACAGTATTTCTCAAAAAGATAACGATAATACAGTTAGCTGTTTGCACTCACTTAAGATCAGATTAATATAGTTTTTGCGGAAGGAAATAACGGAAACTAAAGTCACATGGATCACAAAGCAAGTTGCAATTTGCTTCACTCAACCTCCCCCACCCAAGCTCAGCAGTTGCACATGGAAAGTTTGTGCGTATGCAAGTCACTTGAAAATGAGAAGGAGCTAAGCAGAAGGGAAATGAAAGGAAGGAAATTATACAGGGTAAATTTGAAGCTATTTCTTGAATTTTACTGATTCTAGTCACATCAGAGCTCAGTTTTTTTTAAAAAAAAAATCTCAACAGATTAAGATTCCTGGTGCAACCTAAATATTAATAAATTAATATTAAGAAATAACATTATTGACTATTTCTAGTTTCACACTGTTAGGTAACCTATGTTATTCCTAACACACACTACACGACTGCTATCACTTTCTGCAAACTAAAGCAATGTTAGATTACAAATATGTACTTCAAATATATCAGTACAATTACAAAATTCCCTTTAGATATATCAGCCTACAGGTGCATTGCTTAGATAAGTTGGATTAAAGTTATTTGTCATCTTCCAACTGAGATAACTATGCTGGCTGGAATTGATTAGCACAAAATTCTGGAGAACCCAAGAAAGGCAATCATGTTCAAGAAAGGCCAGAAGACTCTAGCCTTAGTAGAAGGCTCATATGAATAATACATTTGTAATAATTAACTGATGGGAAATAACATCTCGTATCATTTTATAAATGACTATAAGGCACTGCTATTTCCATTTGAAATCAAATTCTGAAAAATATGATGAGGGTGAAATTTTGTTAACAGTTCCAAGAAATTTATTAGATGGTATTTTCAGGAGATTGCCTTACTTTAGCACAAAAGGAACTGCTTATAATCAAATACTTTTGGTAATGCCATCCAGCAATGTAATAGCTATTTGATCTGTCTGTCTCTTTCTCTAAGCCCATAAATCATTCCTTGTTTTCAATGGCTAGATTTGCATGCTGCATTAAGCCACGATTTGCTCAATTAACTGCACAATCATATTAAACAATAAGTTGTGATTTAGACACCAAAGTAACTGGATAGCATAATATATTAATTAAAACCAATTGAAACAAATTAAGATACTGAATTTTTTGTAAAGCCAGAACTAGAAAAATCATTGTTTTTGAGAAAACTAATTTTATCAAAATATTGTTACCGAGTCACAGTGATTTTATTGATTTTATTTTATTTGGAAATTAATATGCTTTCCCACATACCTATCTTATATATAAACTCTGGACAGCTAACAATGATCCAATATAATAAAATCTCTATAAACCAAACAGAAAGCCAAAATTTTAAAAATCATTATACATTAACAAAGGCACCATATAGCAAACCACATCAATATTAACCTCACCTGCCATCCTGGGCAGTGGTGGGATTCAATTTTTTTTACTACTGGTTCTGTGGGCGTGGCTTGGTGGGCGTGGCAGGGGGAGGATACCGTAACATCTCCAGTCAGAGGTAATATTTGCTGGTTTTCCGAACTACTCAAAATTTACGCTACCGGCACTCCAGACCTGGTCAGAACCTGCTGAATACCACCTCTGATCCTGGGCCCACCATTAGTGGGTGGGGCAAGTCAGGTCTTGATAGCCTTGCAGAAAACCAGGAGATTTGAGGGGGGGGGGAGGCTTCAGAATTTTGCAGAGAGATGTATGTGTGCGTGTTTTTCCATAGGACATGCTTTATGATTCTTCAGTCCCACAAGACTATGTAGTTATCAAACAAATTTGCTCTGTCAGATCTGGTGAGATTGGGAAAGAACCTTGGTCCAACAAGTAAGCTGATCCTATGCCATGAAGGGCTACAGAAGTTATAATAGCATCTTGAATTGCACTCAGAAGTGTATTGGAAACCAATGCAACTCATGCAATAGTGATGTAACCTGGCAGGCCTCAATGTGCCCAAAATTGAGTGTGCCACTACATTCTGGACCAAGTGAAGCTGATAATTTCTATTGAGAATCATACAAACAGATTTTTAAATCTGTTTTTCCACCAAAAATATATTTTCAAGTGCTGCATCTGATGGCTTTGCCAAATAAAAAAGTTTTTAACTGTTAACCACTGTGTGAACCCTAATATTTTCAGTCAACATATATTACCAGATATTACCTTTCAGATGTGTTTGACTACCAACTTCATTAAACTCCAGCCAATTAATACTATTGGGAATTTGGCAATTAGAAGCCCAAAATTACTATGCAGCATAATTTCCTGAATGTCACTCACTTAAGCACTGTAAGACTTGAAATTCATGTACAGTATATGTTTAAAGAGAACTAGTAGTCTTCTAGACAAAACAAAAACTACATTGGTGCTTTTAAAATAGTAGGCAACACTTTTTTCCAGTTTTGTGTAATATTTCATTTCTTTCGTTTCTTTTTCCAAAGCAGCCCATATTATCTCAAATTACCACACCCCAAATTTTTATGGAGAGAATGCCAAATAGTTATTGGCTCTCAGCAATTGTCTTCTCCTTTCTGGCTCATCAAAACAAATGCCATAAGAGCTTTATGAGAACTTTAAGAGTTCAAACTCTGAACTGGAACTGCAGATGTGGCTTTGTGACTGCTAAAATAAATATCGTGTTCACTGTAACACTTGAAGAGGATAAACAAAGTGCAGATGAAGAATAAAAGCCTTCAGTGTGTGTGTGTGGGGGGGGGGAACCCAGTCATTCTGTACATGCAAAACAACACAATGCAGCTTTTCCGGCAGAAAAAATCGCAAGCCAGCTGACTATGCATACTAGGTGTGGACTATCCAGTTTAGATATAAGTGTGGACTATCCAGTTTAGATATGATTTATCCCTTAGCTGACAAGGCCTGATGTGATCTGCAGCTGCAGCACTTGAACTCCCTATTTTCCCATGCTGTGACGCCTCGTAAGGCACACATCCTAGCCCAGAGTTAGCTCAAGAGAGCCCTTAAAGAAAAGTATCTGGAACTGTGTCACACGTGAATGTGAATGCATGGCTTTCCTACTCCTGCCTTTGTCTTGGGTGCACCCTGGTCCCAGGGCTTGGTCCTTGTTCGGTAGGGTAAAGTCGCAGAGCATCTGATCACCTGACGCTCAATACCCAAGAGCAAGGTACTGGAGAGGGCAATCCTTTCAGTGAGCTATCTGGCTCAGGGAGAATCATTGGAAATCTAATTCCTGTAAGAATCAAGAAAGGCCCATATGAAGAAAACTTGGATCTAATCCTTACCGTTTCCAAAGTCATTCTGCGACATGATGGGGCTGATCTTCGGAAAGTTACTATGTTTACTTAATTGAAGGAAAAATTCTGTATCTAAAGGGCCATTCTAGGACTGAGCCAAAGCACTGAGAAGAAAGTTTAGCAAATGGTTCTGTAAGAAAATGTTGCAGTTTATTCTGATATTTGAATAAGGAGTCTTCAGATTCCTGGAATCCACATTATCCTTAACATGCTATTATACACCCCCTAAATACCACAAGTTTCGTTTTATTTTCCATCAGTCACCTAACTTTCTATTGTTAATGAGAGTTCTAATCAAATAAGCATATCCTGGGGGAAAACCTGATCTGAGATAACAACCTTAAATTAACCTTAACTTTTTTTTTTTTAGTCTTGATAATGTAAAGACAATTACTGAAATTTGCTGCAAGAGTTTTGTTCTTCTTAAATTTTCTAGTGAAAAGAGCAGTTGAAAATTGTTTCAAAAACAATTAAAACAGGAAGTTTAAAACAAAAATAGCACCAAAAGAAACTTGGGGAAATATGGAGTTTTCCATTATATATATTACATTCATCATAAAAAGGGCCAGAACTGCATATTTAGGGTTGTTTAAATTTAAATTCTGATCACAATTTAAGTTATAGTTCAGAATAACTTGAATGGCCATCCTGTGGGTTGCATTCATCCCATTATGTCCCACTTGCAACCTATTAAATTTCTTGACTTTGCTTGTTAAGAGGTTGCAAAAGCTGATCACATGACCCCAGGACACTGCAACTGTCATATATATGAACCAGTTGTCAGGCAGCTGAATTTTGATCATGTGACCATGGGAATGCTGCAACGGTCATCAGTGTGAGAAACGGTCATAAGTCACTTTTTCAATGCTGTTGCAACTTTGAACGGTCACTAAATGAACTGCTATAAGTTGAGGACTACCTGTATAAAGGTTCCTCACAAGCTTAAGCTCTCTACCAGAATCTGAACTACTAATGATCAAAGCAAATTGGCAGTAGATAAAAATCAATGGAATTCAGGGGGGCTGGACTTAGATCTCTTGTGGGTGCAAAGGGCTCGGGACTGATCAAAGGTTTGACCCTCCCTTCAAGCTCAGCCTGGTGATCTCCAACACCATCCGAACCCAAATATTTGTAACTGTCATTTTCTGGTTTTCAAAATGTAGGCAGTAGTCAGAGAATATAAGTTTAAGATATGTATCTAGTATTATGAAATCGCAATACTATTAGATTATTCTGAGGATTGATTACTATCCTCCTTTCCCCAAATGTTAGAATAGTGAAGTTTCAGTGGCCTCCACATTTATATTGTAATATTTTGATATTAATGTATTTCCTAAATACTGTCAAAGCAAATTTAAAAAATGAAACTGAGCAGATGTGGACATAGATTAATCAGAAATTTGAAAGGATGTATCTGCTGAAATATATAATCCCTAACATGCATTTTACCTTTCAATCTTCATAGACACATTATGGTGTTTCTGGAAGGAGGCATGCAATTTCTTACTACTGGTACGTTACACAGTGGTGGGATTCAAAAACTTTTACTACCGGTTCTGTGGGTGTGGCTTGGTGGGCACGGCCATGTGACTGGGTGGACATGGTTTGTTTGTTTGTTTTGCAGCCCCAATCTGTTTTGGGGAGCTTCTTAGCCACAGAGGAGCCTCTGGGGGGAGAGTGTTTTTGCTCCCCTAAGGCTCTTCTGGGGCTCAGGAAGAAAAGGAACAGAGCATGGGAGGGGCACACAGCACCCCTCCAAGCTCCGTTTTGGGAGCTTCCTAGTCTCAGAGAAGCCTCTGGGGAGGGCATTTTTGCTCCCCTAAGGCTCCTCGGGGGCTCAGGAAGAAAAGGAA